ATGCAATTGGCTTTCCATGTTGCATGAGTACAATACCTACCCCTTTGCCACTAGCATCTATTTCCAACACAAATGGTTGAGTGTAATCATGTAAGGCCAATACAGGTGCCCTCACCGTGGCATCCTTTAGCTTCTGAAAAGCTTCTTCTGGTTCTTTCCCCCATTTAAACTGGTCATTCTTTAATAGTTCGGTCAAAGGCCTGCTAATCATCTCATACCCTTTGATGATTTTTCTGTAATAACCTGTAAGGCCCAGAAAAACCCCTTAGCTGTTTAAGGTTGGCAGGGGTTGGCCAATTAACCATGGCCTCAATTTTATGTGGATCAGTAGAAACTCCTTGATAGGATATGATATGTCCCAAATACTCAATCTGAGTCTGCCCGAAGTGGTATTTGCTCTTATTGGCATAGAGTTGGTGTGGTCTGAGTATGAATAACACCTGCTCTAAGTGTTGTAAGTGTTCATTCCAACTCTTGTTGTAGATAAGTATGTCATCAAAAAAGACTAGAATTGTCTTCCTCAATAAATGCCTAAAAACCTTGTTCATCAATGATTGAAAGGTGGCAGGGGCATTACATAATCCAAAAGGCATGACCAACAACTCATAATGACCATTGTGAGTCCTGAATGTTGTAAGATACATGTGTTCTTTGTTCATTAAAATTTAAAAATAGTCTGACCTCAAGTCAATCTTTGAAAAATACATGGCCCCTTGCAATTCATCCAAAAGTTCATCTATAACTGGAATTGGGTAGTCATGTTTCACAGTAAGCCCATTAAGATATCTATAGTCTACACACAACCTCCATGTAATATCATTTTTCTTCACTAATATCACATGAGAAGCAAAAGGGCTCCTACTCTCATGTATAATCCCAGATTCCAGAATCTCTTTGACTATCTTTTCTATTTCTCCCTTTTGATTGTGAGAAGTTCTATAAGGGAACTGATGCCTTGGTGAGCTGTCAGGTTTGAGAGTAACTTGATGTTCGATACCCCTGCTATGAGGTAAGACTTGGGGTTCAAGGAATACATCTTCATACTCCTTCTGTATAACTTCCATCTCGCTGTCCTCATTAATTTGGTTAGCCTTGTTTACAGCCACCCAGTATACTTCTTCTATTGAATCACCAGCATCTTCATGCATGAGTTTATAAGAGAGGGACCTTAAATAAATTTGCAGGTTGCCTCAGACTTCAATGCTTGGACCTTGACCCCTTTTCCATTTAGATAACTGTGAAACTTATCTTTTCATAGTCTAGCTCAATTGGAGTACAACTTTTTGAGCCAGTCCCTTCCAAAATTACATCACACCCCATATTATCCAAGACCCTTAAGGAATAATTGAAATTCTGTCCTTGCATAGTCCACTGAAAATTCTACACAATGTGTGAACTGATCATATTCTGTCCATTGGCAACCTTTACTCTCAAAGGTTTGACATGTAACAGGTTGAGTCCCAATGTCTTAGATGTGATGGCTTGAATAAAACTGAGAGTACTCCCTGAGTCAACGAGTAGTTGACGTTTGTGCCCCTTTGTAGTACCAAACACCCTCATGGTGGTTAGTCCATCCTCACCTGATATGGAATTCAAGGACATATGTACTTCTTCAATGGGTTCAGAGTGGTCTACCATTTCTTCAATTTGAATTGAGGAGTTGAGGTAATTGAGTTCTTCCTCTTCTGTCATAGTCATGTAATTTAACCTATGCTTGCACTTATGTCCATAGGTGAATTGCTCATCACAGTTATAACACAAATCTCTTTCCCTTCTGGCTGCCATTTCTGAGGCTGTAAGCAGCTTGACAGGGTTTTTGAAGTTGGGGTTGAATTTGTTGGGAGTGGAGTTAGTGTTGTGAGTCTCTATTTTTCTAGGAATCTGGTAGGTGGTTTGGGTAGAGTGTTTGAGTTTTTTTGTGATGGATTCAAGGGTAATGAGCTGTTTCTTGCCAAGTTCTATAGTTTGTTGGAGTGTTTGTGGCTCAAACATGTTTATGAATGACTGCAATTCCTCAGACAACCCACTGATAAAGCTTGCAATGAAGTAGTCTTCTGTGTAACCCATATTCATGCATAATATACAAGCCCTTAGCTTTTCCAACTTTTTCACATAATCCAAGTAGGACCCTGTGTGCCTTAGTTTTTTGAATTCCCCAATTATTTTAGCTTCTTTCAACTCTTCAAACATGGCTGAAATGATCTCAATGAATTATGCCCAAGTAATATTCTCACACTTGTCGTTAAAACTCTGAAACCACTGAACTGCTTTGCCTTCAAAGTGCATGGATGCTAAGGTTATTTTCTGTGATTTGGGAAATTAGGAATAATTTTGAAGTAACCGTTGCACTTTAATATCCAGGCTCTAGGTCCAGTCCCATCAAAGTGTGGGAAATCAACCTTTGGTAAGGGGCTGATCATGTGAGGATTTGGTTGCTGTTGTTCCCACTGTAACTTGGGTTTGGGTGTGTGTTGTTGTTGATTAGATCCCTCGGATTTAGAACCAGGATAAGGCCCAAAAAGGGATTCATTGCTCTTCCCCTTGCTTTTTTCGAGATTAAGGAGTTGTAACTGAATTGCAGCTAAGGTGTTTGATAGATTATCATACTTACCACACATGTTTTGCACTAGTCCCCGCAATTCTGAGCTTAAACCCTTTATTTCTGAGCCCAAATTTGATATCTGCTCCTGGAGTTTCATTTCAGTTGCTTCTCTTTTTAATGCCTCAGTTTGTAAGTTCTGATCGATCTTCCTTTGTGCTTCTTGCAGGTCCTTGAAACGAGTAGCTTCAGCCATGGCAAAACCGCTGGCTCTGGATACCAATTGTTATAACCTTGATGTAACTATTTTTTTTTTTTTTTT